CCTCACACGCTTCGTGGCCCCATAGGGAGCTCCACCGAAGGCCCCAATGCCACCGTCCGCATGCGCCCCCCCCCCACACCCAATTCGGCACACCCCTCACACGTTTCGTGGCCCCATAGGGGCTCCACCGAAGGCCCCAGTGCCAGCGCCCGCATGCGCCTCCCCTCTCCCAATGCAGCGCTTCGTGGCCCCATAGTGAGGTCCACCGAAGGCCCGCATGCCACCGCCCGCATGCGTCCCCTCCACCAGTACAGCGTTTCGTGGCCCCATAGGGAGCTCCACCGAAGGCCCCAGTGCTACCGCCCGCATGCGTTCCCCCTACTTATTGCAGAGCTTCGTGGCCCCATAGGGAGCTCCACCCAAGAAGATATTCACAAGTGCGGTATTCACAGCTGCATATGGTTGGGTCCGTTGCCCGGATAATTCAAGTTTGGCCCCCGGTCTACTCTTGCACAACATACCACAATTCAGACCCTCTCACCGCCCCAAATAACCCGACAAGCCGTTGAGGGCCCCAAATCATTGAATACCTAGAAAGGAATTAATGATTTCTGCGTTTCCGCACTTCCCCTTCTATACGATTCCGAAGGATGCGCAGGGCCTCCAAGGGAGTCCCTGGACGCAAGAAGCGACCAACATGATATTACATGAGTTGGCAAGTCAAGCCTAGCTAGAATTTGAGCGCGCGCAAAGCGCGCGGGATGGTTCTAGTGTATATATATATGCATTGATGCATGCATACATGCATTTCTATATCGGTATACATCTGCATACAATCATATATATATATATATATATAAAAATGTATATGTGTGTACATATATATACTTATGTCTGAGAAATATAATCAATGTGCGAATATGAATCTCTCTATATATATATGCTAAGGATAAGGACTGCAGCTGTGTGGTTGCTCATCTGTTGCACTTGCTCGATGCAAGTATGTCGTATGTCTCTTGGATCCCGTGTCCGTTGCCCGCAGCATTAATTGAATGACCGTCCTCGTCACAGTGTGTTGTGATTGCTTCATCGTCCTTCGTTATGGATTGCAGGAGTGGCCTGTGTATATGGCAATTGGGGGGTCAATGTTGTGGCGGGTTGCACAGGAGTCCTTTCGTGGCAATAAGCGTTGTTACACATTACCCAAGACGCTAGAATGGGGAACGCCTTCTGCTCGGGAGCGGCTTGCATTTCAAAGCCGCTCCTGCGGCCAATGTTGGGGATCCTGTGGTGGGGCAGTCGCGGCGATAGCGTTGATAGCATCGGAGGAGCCGCCTGTGAACGGGCGATCGCCCCCGCCGCCGCCTTGATTCACACGACTACAAACTTGCATATCGAGCATTACCATGGTGCACCGACCGTCTTCTTCGGCACTCTAATCGCCGCGTCCAGGACCACTACATACGCGGCCACCATCGCCACCACCAGTGTAAGTTTCAGGCATTACCACCATCACCGCCTCCCTTGGAGGCAACGACATTCACGACCACCACAATCATAGTCATGACCTGCACGACCACCACCTGAACTGGCACCGCCGTCACAACCCTGTCTACGTTAGGATGCGCGATCCACGCCCTGCCCCGTCATATTGTCTCACATTGTCCTGCCCCGCTTGGTGGGCCACCGCCAGCGCCGTCACAAACTGCACCGCAGCCAACACCTGTGCCGTCATCGTCACGGCCACCTGGCATAATGGTGACCATGGCACTGGCGACAATGATGACACAAACCCAATCTGGGGGACTCAAACTGCTGTGTTTTAATGTGTACAGTGGTTTTAAGTGTGCACCGAGACACGGAAATAATCTGGAAGCCAAGAAAACCTGTGCTTTGACAGTGTCTAGTAATTTTCATCTTGATTCCCATTGTGCGGCCATCACATATAACCCATGTGAAGATCTCATTGACTCCGATCTTCTAGGATACGATTGAAATCCTATTGTACAAGCTTACAACTTGATTCCCCAAATGCGGCCATCAAATGGAATCCCTTTGTGGGGTATTGCAAATTGACTCCCGGCGTGTGGGAGACACGTGGTCTCCTTTTGTACGTACTTACACATTGATTCCTAATGTGTGGTCTTCAAATGGAACCCTTTTGCGCTTGGCTCGAAGGGGGAAGGGGGGGCAACGAAAAAAACGAACATAAACAATCAGGGGGACCAAGAGCGCCGTGTTTCAATGTGTAAGTTGGTTTACAGTGTACGCTAGAGAACCCAAACAAGACAATCTGGAAACAAGGAGAACATGTTTTCAATGTGTTTGGGAATTTACACATTGCTGCCACGTGTGCAACCATCACATATAATCCCTCTGAAAAGGCTCCACGACAGAATTCCTATTCTTTGGGGGACACGTGAAATCCTGTTGTACCGCTTTGTGCAGTAGTTCCTAATTGTGCGGCCATCGAGTGGAATTTCTTCTCGTGGAGTGCAACACATTGACTCCCATCGTGCAGGAGGCACTCGGGATCCGTCTGTCGGTTCTTAGAATTTGATCCCTTTGGAAGCAAAGCGTTTAAACAAGATCGGCATGCAATTGCCAAAACACTGTGGGAGCACAGGCTTGCCTTGCTTCCAGGGTGTAGGTTTTTTTTTGTGCTGTTGATATACATTTGTACATCCAACGTACACATGCAACACCCTGTTTTGGCCCTCCCCAATTATCTTGTTTGTTTGTTTGTGTGTTTGTCTTTTTCGTCGGCCAGCCCCCCCACCTCCTCTTTGCGAGCCACGCGCAAAGGGATTCCAGTTGAAGGCAACACAATAGGAATCAGCATGTAAGTATGCACAAGAGGACTTCAATTGTCTCCTACACAATAGGGATCACTTTGCAGTGCGCCACACATGGGCTACATTTAAAAGCCGCACAATAGGAATCAATGTGTAAGTCTGTACAACGAGATTTCACTTGAATCTTACACACTAAAGGTCAATGTGTAAAGCCCTTCAAAAGAGTTGTACGTGATGGCCGCACAATAGGAATCAAAGTGCACATGCCTCAAGGCTGTGAAACGCAGGTGTTCTTTGCTCCAAATTAGTTTGCTTTGATTGTTGTTTGTTTCTTTCGTCGGCCAGCCCCCCCCCCGCGTCCCCCCAGCCAGGCGCAAAGGAGTTCCATGTGTGAAGGCCGTACAGATGTAATCAGGTTGAAACTCCGCATAAGGGATGTTCATGCTACACGACACGCCACGAACCAACTCATACATCTTCGCATGCTGTGGTGTGAAAGCGAGGTGGGTGGATAATGAGAGTGGCCCTTACCATACACATATATATATATGTTTGTTTGTATGCCTGTATGTATGTATGTATGCACGTATACATAAAATCTTACATGTACACACACATATATATATATATATAAATATCAGAGTGAGGGGGCCGAACGGTCATTCACTGTCCCTGGGTGCGTGGCTGAAGTGGGATTCCGCGGTGCGGATTCGTGTTGTTGTTGTTGTTGTTGTTGTGTTTTGTTTTGCTTGTTGTTTGTTGTTTGTTGTTGTTGTTTGTTGTTGTTGTTTGTTGTTGTTGTTGTTGTTGTTGTTTGTTGTCGTCGTCCCACCCGCAACCCGCCCCGCGACCCACCCGCGACCCACCCCACGACCCACCCGCGACCCACCCGCGACCCACCCGCGACCCACCCGCGACCCACCCCGCGACCCACCCCGCGACCCACCCCGCGACCCACCCGCGACCCACCCGCGACCCACCCGCGACCCACCCACGACCCACCCCGCGACCCACCCGCGACCCACCCACCCGCGACCCACCCGCGACCCACCCGCGACCCACCCGCGACCCACCCGCGACCCACCCGCGACCCACCCCGACCCACCCCGCGACCCACCCGCGACCCACCCGCGACCCACCCGCGACCCACCCCGCGACCCCCGCGACCCACCCGCGACCGCGACCCCCGCGACCCACCCGCGGCCCACCCGCGCCACCCCCCACCGCGTTCCACCCGCGACCCACCCGCGACCCACCCGCGACCCACCCGCGACCCACCCCGCGACCCACCCGCGACCCACCTTCGACCCAAACCACATTTTCGGCGCCTGCGGCGGGCTTTTTTTGCATTCCTTCCAGGTATAGAGCCCGCGAACCACCCCGCGACCAACTCGCGACCAACCCGCGACCCAAACCACATTCAGAGTACAAACCACATTTTTCGGCGCCTGCGGCGGGCATCTTCTGCATTCGTCCTAGGTGGAGAGACCGCGGCCCACCAGCGACCACGTTCAGGGTACAAACCAAATTTTTCGGCGCCTGCGGCGGTCATCTTTTGCATTCGTTCCCGGTGGAGAATCCGCGGCCCAGCCGCGACCCAAACCACGTTCAGTGTACAAACCAAATTTTTCGGCGCCTGCGGCGGGCTGCTTTTGCAGGAGGAGGAGGAGGAGGAGGAGGAAGAGGAGGAGGAGGAAGAGGAGGAGGAGGAGGAGGAGGGGGAGGAGGAGGAGGAAGGAGACGACGACGACGACGACGTCTACGACGACGACGACGAAAAGGAGGAGGGGGGAGGATCGGGAGGGGGGAAGAGGAAAACGATGAGGAGGAACATGACGACAATGGGAGGACGATGATGGAAGGACGAGGGGGGGAGAGGGAGGACGATGAAGAAGAGGAGGAGTAGAAGGACGAGGTGGAGGAGGACGACGATGACGATGAGGACGAGGACAAGGACGAGGAAGAGGAGGAGGAGGAGGAGGCGGAGGAGGAGAAGGAGGAGGAGAGCGCCATCGACAAGGAAGGTGGGGGCCACGAGGTCCGCCGGCTTGACGACGCCCGCGTCGCCCGCACCCGCCCCCTCACTCTTATCCGCAATTGCGGGGTGCTATATATGCCTATCTATCTATCTATATATATATATATGTATGAGCACGCGATTATGTATGCAATCGTATGGGACTGGGGCTGGTGCAAGAAATTCCACGCTCCTGGTCCGCCAACCGCGGCGGCCTCCAGAGCGGCGGCGGGGGGAGGGCGGGGAACCGGTGCACGCGGAGCATGAAGAGCCGGGCCGCGCTCTCGTTGTCGAGGCCCTGTGCGGCTGCGGGTGGCAGAGAGGAACACAGGAAGAAGAGGAGGGGCAAGCAGGGGCTGACTCGGGCGTTCCTCGTCCATGGGAAAAGGAATAGTCGTGCGGCATGGGCACCGTGTGGCCCACTGCAGCACGGTGCAGGCCGCTGCCGAGCTCAGGGAGCTTCTGGGCGGTCGTGGAGCAGCCGACGGCGGCGCGACGGGCCAGCACCTCGGGGAGTTCGAGCGCGTGCCGAGAGACTCTGCTGACGTGCTTGGGCTGCCGAGGAAGGCCACGCCCGAGGACGTCAGGGTCGGCCTCGTCCGCCGCGGCGACGCCGAGTTGGCGAAGCGCTTCCACGGCTGGCGAGCGGGGCGCAGGGCGCCCGCACGTCCTCCGGGCAAGCTCGGCGGCCGTGTGCTGGAGGCGCTGCGCAGGCCGGAGTGGGATGGCACTGGCACGGAGGAGTCCTAAGATCATGCAAAGTGAAGAACATCACATTTCTTTCGAGAAACCGTCGAATCCAAAGAGCGCCCCCAGATTGGTTTACGTTTCGAGCATTTATGCAAAGTTTTGCGGGTTTCGACGCGCGTTCTGATTACGTTTTGAGTTTTCGGATGATCACCGAGGACCGGGAGCGCTCGATGGACTCGTCCGACGGCCAGGGGTCGTTGCAGGAGCGGGTCGCCAACGTCGGGGGCACGAGCTCGATGGAGTCGCCCGGCTTCAGCGGCATGGAGAAGGGCACATCGTCTGCGGAGAATCGTCCCTCCCTCATCGCCGAGAGGATCGTCGGCATCGAATCCCAGATGCTGGACCTTAAGGACCTCCTCCTGACTTTGCGGGCCGATGTCTTGGGCATGGCGCCGAGACCAGCCTCTTCGGTGCTGCCCGCAGGCGCGGATCGTCACTTTGCTCGGCCAAATGACGCAGCGGAGGCTTGCGACATAGTCTCGGAGCGCTGTCATTCGTCTGGGCCCATGCTTGTCGACACCAGCGGCGGCTTGGAGAACTGCGACACGGACGGGGAGGTGCGCAACTCCCCCGAGCCGCAGGGACACCAGCTGGCGCAGGAGAGCATGGAGCAGCAGAAGGAGGACACGGCAGAGGGCGACGACCACCATCCCGTACAGACCGAGCTGGCGGAACCTACCGAGGGTGAGGCTTCCAGGGCTGGCGTTAGCTGTAGGCAGTGCGCCAGATGCAGCAACACCCATAATCTGGTATCCTATTTTGCCCTTTCTGCTCCTTCCAAGGGAAACGTTTCATGCTACATTTGTGGGGCTAGATGCAAAAAAGGCAAGAATGCATACGGGTGCGAAGGATGCGACTCGTGGGCTCACAGCTCATGCTACACGAGTTTCCTGTCCACTCTGGACGCACCTGTTCAGGATTGATTGCCTCAGCATCTCCCTCTATCCCGCACTCCCTCTCCCCAATGATCCTACCCCTCGCTTGTCCCCACCTCGATGCCTCCAGCATTGTAGTCAGAAGGGCTCGGGAAGGGGAATTGGGGGAGAGGTAGGGGAGTGATGGGGTTTGCTCCGCAGAGGAACGGCCAGGCCGAACGGCTGCCGAATCTGCAGGAGCTACGCACGCATCGCGAGCAGCGCCTGCTCGCAGACAGCCGCGCGGGCACGACCTAAACAGCGGAACTGTACGGGTGGTTCGAGTATTAGGTGTGTGCGCTGTGCTGCGGGATGGCGTGCGTTTACATGGCCCCTGGCTTGTGTAGCTGTCGAGGGTCTCTGACATCCTCTCTCCCGCCTCAGTAGCAGGCCTCCCCTCCCCTCCTCCTTTAGCTGAATGTATGAGCAGGCTTGGCGTCTCCCAGCTTGCCGATTTCTCGAGGAAGGGGGGAGGAGACGAGGGGGTGAGCTGGGGAGAGGTAGGACGATGTCGTCCGAGGCACCGCCCAGGGAGGCGGGCCTCGTGGAACGAGGCGCCCAGGGAGGCGGCCCTCTTCTGCGGCTGGGCCGAGCGGCTCGCCCATCCATATTTTTTGTCCTTTCCTGCTCTTAGAGTGGGCTTGGGACTCCTTAGTGCATCAGTGCATCAGAGGAAAACGAGGGGGAAGAGCAACGTTAAAACCACATCAGCCCCTGGGAAGCGGAACTCCCGATCCCCAATTCTCCACAACTTCCTGAAACACTGGGCGGCAACTGGAGGGCAGCCTCCAAGAGAAGAATACGAATCATTGCGCGGCGCGGGGTGGAGGAACAGCTCCCCTGCCCTCCCACGTTCCCCCCCAGGACGCGTGGCCTGGCCCGACAACAACATCGTGACCTGTTTTCGGGTCTGTGAAGCACTCTTACGGGCCCTGCCGGGCGCGGTGCGGGGGCCCCCGGGTGTTCCCCTGCACCCCCCCCGCTTTGTGCATCGCCTCCATCCTTACGAGGGCCGCGGAAGGGATTCAATCCAACCGCGCAAGCCGCTGCTGACTTCGGCGAACGGCCGCCCTGCTTTCTTGAACTTCCACCACCGTGGACCCCAACAACAAGTTATTGTACTGTGGATGTGCAAGCTGTTTGTGTAGGCTACCTGGTGTAAACTAGAACGCTTCATTTTTTGCATCAATTCGTGAATGGTCGGCTCCACTGTTCGCACAACCACCCCACCCTCCCACCCGCAATGTGTTCGGCAAAGCCGTATGCAACCATGATTGCGACTGCGGGTCGGCACTTGCTGGCGCATCTCTGCGGCCGCGCTGGCGCGCGAACGCTCGCGCGCAGGGCGACCAACTGATTTGGCACAACTGGTGCGGCCGCGATGGCGCCTGCCGACGGGAGCTTCCCAGCGCATCTCGAAGGTGCGGGTAGGTGACTCGGGCGGGCGCAGTATCATGATGACGTCGACGCTGGAGGCAACGAAGATGGATGGTAGTAACGATGGTGGTGGCGATGACGACGATTGCGACGGCAAGGCCAGTGACGGCGCAGATGCTGGTGACGACACGTACGATGATAATGTCCATGTGTCGATGATTGAAAGATTTGTGCTGATGATGGCAGCAATGGCGGTGATTGGCGATGACCTGGTGATGGGGGAAATGCGCGCGCAGAAAACCGAGGAATCTGGCAATCTTCAACTCTGTCTGAGCAATACGTAGCGTTGCACATGCGGTTGAAGAGCTGTGTCCTGAAATGCTCGGACTCGGACCTTCAAGGAGTACGCGAGCGGGGGGCGCTGCAGGCGGGCACCGTGGCGCCGAAACACATGCTGCGGCAGTCTCTGTGCCAGCCGGCGGGGACAGCCCGCGCGAAGGGAGAGAGCGAGAGAAAGAGACAGAGAGAGAGAGAAAGAGGAATACAGAAAGAGAGACAAAGAGAAAGAGGGACGCGGGGCAAGCAAACACGGGAGGCGAGGCCGAGGGACAGGGGGGAGGGGCGAACGACAAGAGGAGCGACGAAGGAAACGCGAGCGAAAGAAACCGAACGGCGGAACGAAGGGCAGCCCTACTCACAAAATATGCCCTCCAAAGTGCCCCAAAGATCTGTCGTAGCAATATCACACCATTCGCATTCAGGAACAAGTTGGTTCGGATAGAACCGAACGTTTCAGAACGTCGGGCCATCATTTCTTCCGACGACGCGGGTGTCCACGAGCATAGTGCCCGTGCCGTCCAATTGCTGTCAGATGAAAAAAACTTTACAAACCCATGTCCATGTCCGCTGTCGTTGTATTTCCACATGTCACAAGGTTGTTTGAAATCTACCGCCGCGGCCCAAACAGGCAGGGTCCACTCGTCGGCCTTTCCTTGGATCTGCGTAAGAATGAACAGATGGTCCGTCGTACTGCAGGGTTCAGGAAGGACTTCGACGTGGGCGCGTGGTGGCGCGCGTGCGCGTGACTCAGATGGCATTCTTTGATACTGGGCGCATGCTAGGTCAACGCAAATGCACCGCGTGGAGAGATCATAATGCGACGTCTGGACAAGATGGCAAAGCACCTGTCTTTCTTTGATTTCAGCACGTGCGCGCGGACTCAACATCTGCAATACTTGTGGCGTTTGATGTGATTATGTTGAAACGCTTGCAGAACTAAGGTGTTTGGTATTTTCTGCCATGCGTTCTTGCAGAATCACCTCTTGAGGTACAACGGGTGCGCGCATGGTATTATTTGACCGGGACGTGGGGGGGTCGGAATAGGCCTTGGTGGGGTGGTCTGATTTCGTTCGCCCGATGAACGATTGGGCGAAATCATATGTAATGTAATTTGCAGTGTCCCAGAGGGGGCATCGATCAGTCTAGAGGGTAGGGATGGTAGAATCGATCATCTTTTGAAAAGAAAGTGCGCGTGGTGCACGCTAGTGGCGGCCACGAGGCGGCATCGTGGCGAAACCTCGCGGGACACACCCAGCGCCCGAGGCGGCCTCGAGGTGGCATCGTGGCGAAACCTCGCCGAACTCGCCCAGCGCCCGAGGCGGCCACCTGGCCATCGCTCGGACGTCCATTCCCTGTGTTTCTTTTGGTTTCGTGCGTGGTTTTTCGCCAAATGATCAAGGATGCTCCTCGATGGTCCTCGCCGAGGAAAACACGTACACTTCCGAGCGATGCCAAGCAACTGGGCGGCAACGTGGCGAAACCTCGCGGGACCCACCCAGCGCCCGAGGCGGCCACTGGGCGGCATCGTGGCGAAAAACCTCGCGGGACCCGCCCAGCGCACGAGGCGGCCGCGGCACGGCCACGGGCAGCAGCGCGGCGAAGCCTCGCCGGACCCACCCAGCGCGCGCGGCGGCCACGAGGAGGCGACGCCCCGCGGGGCCCAGACAGCGCACGAGGCGGCCACGGGAAGCAACGGAGAACACCCTCGCCCGACCCCAAACCCTCAAAGCAGACACTTTCTAAGGAAAGAGAAATGAGATACAGTCGGACTCGATTGGACAGGACACGCGAGAGAACACAATACCCTTCCGAGGGCCAACACGGTCACAGTACAATACCCTGCCGAGGGCCAAACTGCCACAATGTGGGAAACATGAGTCGCGAGACACAGGACACAATGGTGCCCTTGATTTGGCAGGATCGACCTACTAATCTGGGCCGACTGTAATCTGACAGCGGACAACAACCAACAGGCCAAAAAACGCGTCACAAATCAGTAGGCATCTGGCCCGGTAACGGGGCTGCCATGCGAACGTGGCCATCCGCTAGAGCAGCCGAGCCCGACCCTGCCCAATTCCACGAGGGGCAGAGGAGGAGGAAGAGGAGGAGGAGGAGGAGGAGGAGGAGGAGGAGGAGGAGGAGGAGGAGGAGGAGGAGGAGGGGGAGGGGGAGGAGGAGGAGGAGGAGGAGGAGGAGGAGGAGGAGGAGGAGGAGGAGGAGGAGGAGGGAAGGGAGGAGGAGGGAAGGAGGAGGAGGAGGAGGAGGAGGAGGAGGAGGAAGGAGGAGGAGGGGGAGGAGGAGGGGAGGGGGGGAGGAGGAGGAGGAGGAGGAGGAGGAGGAGGAGGAGGAGGAGGAGGGGCTGACCAGCTCAGGGGGGGAACATCGAGCTTCAATCGGCGCTGCACCGCCGATAGATCGGCGTCAGGTCCCCGACAGCAAGTCCGAACGGTCCTGGGCGGGGTGGGCCCTCGGGCCCCTGGGCGACCAGTGGGCGATTCGGAGTCGTTGCGCCCCCGCCCTGAGCCAGTCCGCCCTGGTATTGCTTCCGAGGCTGTCCTGCGAACGTGGCAACTCTCTGGCCTCCTCCTCCTCCTCCTCCTCCTCCTCCTCCTCTCTCCCTCTTGCTCCAGGAGATGGCCCTACTCCTCCACCTTCTCCTTCAAGAGAGGGGCCTCCTCCTCCGCCTCCGCCTCCGCCTCCTCCGCTTCCGCCTCCGCCTCCTCCTCCTCCTCCTCCTCCTCCTCCTCTTCCTCCTCCTCTCCGCCCCCCGCGCGGCAGGGGCACAGGGGAGCGCTTGGTCCTTCAGGGGGTGGTGCACCACCTGGCGGCCGAGCGCCTCAATCTCGATCCGCCTCCTCCGCCTCCGCCTCCGCCTCCTCCTCCTCCTCCTCCTCCTCCTCCTCCGCCTCGTCCTCGAGTTCCTCCGCACATATTCGCCCGCAGACCGTTCGAATAGCGCTCTGTGGGACAATCTGATGCACGGCGCACAAGCGCGCCTCCACCGCTGCGGCCTGGGGGGACGCAGAGAGCCGAATAATGGTTCCCCATCAGATGAAACGAACACCCCGACAAAGCTACCACGACAACTGATTAGGGCAATGTCGGCACACCGCCAGTCGTCTGACTCCTCGGCCAAACCCCTTCCGCCTTCTCCTGGATCCTCCTCCTCCTCCTCCTCCTTCTCGTCCTCCTCCTCCTGCTCGATCGTCGTCATCCTCGATAGTTGTCCGCCTCGGTTCTCCTCCTCTTCCTCGGTCCTCTCACATGGATCTTCCTCCTCCTCCTCCTCCTCCTGCTCCTCCTCCTCGATCATCCTCCTACTCCGCTCAGTTGCTCTACGTCTCGTATGCGCCGCAAAAACCTTGCACCTAAAGGGAACGGGTGCTGATGGAAAGATGATGAATCTGTTCGGTGTGCGCAACGAATAGCGAAACGGGTCCTGGACTCCAAGTTCTAAGCGAAACGGGCCCTGAACCCCAGGGGCTTTCCCAGACCCTAGGACGCCGAAGACAGCGGAACATCTCAGGACCCACTTTCATCAGGATCCAGTTCCTTCATGGCAGGGATTCAGCGGGAACATCGAGGATTCCACTTTCTCCTCGCCCCGCCCCTCTCCAAATCCCCGTTGTGAGCTTCAAAGAGGTCTCTGGAACTCACGCCAACGCTCCCCCCCATGCCCGCATATCAGCACAAAACCAACAAGGATGTGTAAGTCGCTCCTCCTCTCATCCCTCCTCCTTCTCCTTCCTAGACTCAGGACCGTATGCAGAGACGTAACAAAAAAACATCCGGAGGCTCGCCTGGATGTCCTGTAACTTGGCGGCTCCTCTGGCTCCGCCACTGGCGCGCTCCCTCCGCTGACCTGTGCTTAGGCAGATGTGTATGCCTCGGTCCCCTCCCATCGGAGGCGACGACATGGCGAACAGCCCGGGGGCGCCCCCATGCTGGCGGTAGCGCGAAGCGGGCGCGCCTTGAATTGCCCGCCGGCAGTGCCCTCCATGCGCTGGCGCCTGCGCGCGCGCGGTGCGCTGTGCTTGCAGACCCCGAGGGAAGGGGGGAGGGGCAGGCGGACAAGCTAGGTGCGCTCGCGTCATATTTTCATCCCTTGCCATGGCGTAGATCTCCTTTTTACTCGCACAGCTGGATGTCGTAGCATGGCATAACATTACATGGCATAGCACGGTGTTGAAGATCAACGCGTAGCATGACATAGCATGGCATGGCGACACCCCAATGCTGGGGGGGCTTCCGCGGCCCAAATCAACGAATCGGCACCGAATGTGGAATCACTTCCGATGGCTGTTTCGGGGGGCCATTTTCTAGATTTTGGGCCCCCGGAAACCATGCCGTGGCATGGCGCTGGAAATAATGACGCCAGCGCTGCAGCGGGAGCACGATTCGGAACGAGCAGAAGCGCGGAAATGAGGCCAGCGCTGCAGCAGGAGCACGATTCGGAACGAGCGGTAGCACGAACATGAGGCCAGCGCTTCAGCGAGAGCAGCATCTTTGACAAAAAACCTAAGCGAAATCCCGTTTCCCGGGAATCCTGTGTAAAAACCTGTGCGCGGAGGGGGGGCGAATATTTCCTGGACGTCAACAGGGGAGAGGGGAGAGTAGTATTCATATTGTGAAATTGTGGAGGGGCGGACAGGGGCATAAGAGGGGGGAATGGGCAGGGGCATGAGGGGGGAGGGACAGGGGCCGGGAGAAGCGGGACGGGGCAGGAGAAGGAGGGGGTGGGGGCATGAAGAGGAGAGGGGGGGGGCAGGGGTAGGAGGAGGGGGGAGGAGCATGAGGAGGGTGGACGCGCAAGAGGGGGGGGGAGAAGGACCGTACGGGAACCAGCTGAGTCCGGTGCACGGCGCGGCTGCGCCGCTACTGCCCTGACTGTGTGCACCAGAATTTGGGAATGGCAGGGGGAGGAGGAGGAGGAGGAGGAGGAGGAGTGGGAGGAGGAGGAAGAAGAGGAGGAGAAAGAGGAGGAGGAGGAGGAGGAGGAAGGAGAAGGAAGGAGGAGGAGGAGGAGGAGGAGGAAGAAGAAGAAGACACATATGAGGAGGATGATGTTGATGATGGTGGTGATGATTTGATGATGATGATGATGATGATGATGATGATGATGATGATGATGATGGTTGCTCGCTCGCTCACACCCAATCAGACCCGTTCGTTCCATCAACCACTCAATCTCTGTCCACCTGGGCGGGGGAGGGATGGGTGCAGCGCAGGCGCGGCCGCAAGAAATCCTCGCAAGAAACCGAATCCCGAAGATCTGCGCGCGAGGTGCAAGTGCGGGGGGAACCCACGGCACCCCGAACGCGGCAGCCTCTTGACGCCCGCGAGAAGTCATCGCGCAGCGCGCGTGGCGAAGAAACCAAGGGGCCCTGACGCAGTCTCTTGTTTCTTGATGCGCTTCCCTTTAAAGGGACCCAAGAAACACACGAAACACATGCACACAAGTCCCAGGATTCCCCATCTGTTCCCATACTTTCGGAGTTTTCGTCTTCCCCCCCCCACTTCCCACAGTTTCCTACATTTTTTCCTGGCGATCGACGGTGATTTGTGCCTGTGTCTGTTCCCCCTCTGATTCCCTCTGTAAGAACTCTGCGTAAACACATAGGCACGGGAGGTCCGCGCAGACTTCTTGCCTCAGCGCTGGATCCTCCCTCCCCGGATCGCGCTTTAGGCCAGGGGGGCGGCGGCAGAGGCGCCGCGGGGGTGCCACGAGGGGCCTCCGCGCCGATGCAAAAAATCAGTGCGGACCGCGGATCGATTAAATGCTCGGGTATTTCTTCGCGACTCGACTCTTGAACACCTGCAGAAGTGACTAGAGGCCTCCCAGATGGGGTCGGAGTTGATGGGGTCGGAGGATCGCGCTGCATCGCCGATACATCGGCGATGCATCGCCGATGCATCGTCGGCGATGCATCGGCGACGTCGACGTGAAGCAAATCGGGCTCCACATCGAGCGGCATCGGAGATGTATCGGCGATGCGGCGCGATGCTCCGACCCCATGGCCCATCTGCTCCGACTCCATCTAGGAGGCCTAGAACGACCTTCTTCAGTTCGGGGACTTGAGTCGTCGGACCGCGTGGTGACCTCGAGATCCCAGGACATCCCCTCGGGCCGAACGAAAGGGGGGGATAGGGAAAGTGGGTCATGTAATCTGCTGCATGCAGCTGGTCTCGGCCCCGCCGCCGCGCCCACTCCTCGATGCCTGGGCGCCTCCTGGCGCCGGGAGGCGCTTGGAAAATCAGCTACGCGAGCTGATTCTCTGCCCTGCCCTTTCCTTTTCCCCCCCCTTTCGTTCCCCCCGGTCATCACCGCGCGGTCCGTCACCGCACGGCCTCAGGACCCGGGAGGCCTCGGTCGCCCGAGACGGTCGTCAGGAAAGGGCACGGGTCCCAAGGGCGCGCAGTGACCCTGGATCACCACTGAGTCAATACGCTGAAGGCATCTATACACCACCACCGTGTTAGGCCAGGGCCATCCTGGCCCTGGCCTAGTGTATACGCCCTCCTGGCCGAGGCCAGGAGGATCTATACACCATCCTGGGGCCCAGGATGGCCCTGGCCTAACACGGTGGTGGTGTATAGATGCCTTCGTCGGAGTCAAGTCACCGTCTGAAATTCCCCAGCCAATGTTTCCGTGCCACAGGCCGGATTCTCCTGCGGCTGTCCAGGGCGATCCGGGCACCCCCAGAAAAGCTGTGGTCACTACACTTGGGTGGCTGGCTCCTAGAACTGGGAGGCTGGTTTGCAGCCCTTCGAGCTTTACCCTGACGACGATGATGAAGATGATATTGATAATGATGATGCTGCTGATGGGGATGATGGTGGTGACGATGCTGATGATAATGATGAAGATGATAATGCTGATGGTGATTATGATGATGACGATGATAATGATGATGCTGATGACGATGATGACGATGACGATGATGCTGATGCTGATGCTGATGATGCTGATGCTGATGCTGCTGCTGATGATGATGCTGATGATGATGAGGATGAGGACGAGGATGATGGTGGAATCAAGAGTTTCAACAGATACAGTGACAGAGGGGTGTTGATTTAGGTGTATGGGAGAGGCGGGGGAGGTGCATGCAATGCCCAAAAGAGCAAACCGCCAAGCCCCTGACCCTGCTGCCGAGCAAGGGCAACCGTGGAGCGACATCGGCGGCGGGGCCAAGCCCTCTCCCCCACCCGAGAGGGGCAGCTGCCGTCTCCTGCCGCAGGTGTACAGTCGGGGCGTTGACCTAAGGAACCCTAAATAAGGAACGAGGCCCCTTTTTCCCATAAGTTAAACTTCGATTTCCCATGGAAAACCTAACGCAAACTGTAAAACAATCAAGGAACACCGAGCCCCTCGCCAACGAGAAGGATTCCTTCTTCAGCGCCCCGACTGTATGCCAACCCCGCGCTGGGGTGGGGGGGCGTGGGGGCGGGGAGAAGCTCGGTCGCCACCCCCGTGCCCAGTGGGTGTGCCTCACGCCTGGGGCACCCTCGAGGGAGGCCGGCGGCTCGGAGGAGTGCGGAGGCTGATGCGTTCGTTGGTTGTCTGGGCTGGTTGATGTTTTTGTCCGTGGTCGGGGGCTGTCTTGGCCCCAGCTTGGGTGATTTGTGAAGCTGGCTGCGAAGTGTTCTGGCTAGGGCTGCCTGGATCCAAATTTGATCAACTTCATCTGACACCGGTTTGGTGATACGGTTGAAAAGAAACTGTCTTGCCTACACTGGCTGAGAATCCCACCAGCCCTTTGGGCCAAGGTGGTCAATCGTCCCCGGACAATTGTTTGATTCTTATTGAATATTCCCCCTGTAGAGGGACATGCCCGACTTAAGCCTTGCGATGTTCCAAGAGAGGCCCAAGAGCTGCACGAGGCGCTCCCTAGACGGCCCCAAAGGGCGCCCAAGAACGCCCCAAGAAGCGATTTTGATTGCCCCAGGTTGGGGCGAATCGAGGACCCGTCGTCCAGAGAGCCCTGGATCATGCCTCCTCCGATACAGTAGAGTCTCGATTACAAGAAACCTTCCACAAGAAACGAACCCTGAGACCCCAGGACGTCCACATTTTGTTTGGTGCGGGAACGGCACGCTTTCCATGGCGAAACCATCGGAACCCAAGAAACCCAGGGCACCCTGGAGGCAAGCAGGGTGTTCTTGGCATGTGCCTCCTCCAATACCGCGGAGGCTCCCGGATGAACCCGCAAGGAGTACGCGGCGGCAACGCCTCCTTGTCGCGCGTCGCCGACCATATCCACGTCAGGACCACGTGGATCGTCACGACAAAGCGTCATACGCGAAATCGAGCTGACAGTTTCGGTCGGTCAGCGCGCTCGTTCCCCGCCAGGCACATCACCACGCGGAAAGACTTGAATTTCGATGCCATGATTTCCTTTATCCGCGCGCTTGTGGGTCTTCGACGCGCGAGTAAGCACCCCGACAAGCGAAGCCGTCCAGTAAAAGCACGCAAGGAAGGCATTGAACAGGGCATGGCTGATTAATGAACGACCAGGGCCGTGTAGAAACGCCAATTGTGGGGGTCGGGGTGGTTTTTGTACCTTCCCTGAATATGATTATTCCTCGTCGACGTCGTCAATACTTCTGCGTACCTCCTGCGTGCTTCGCAAACGTGTTTACCTCGTACTCGTCCTTGTTATCGCCGGCGCCGGCGTCGAACACATCCTAGTCGTCCTCCTTCTCCTCATACCCCCTCCTTCTCCTGTTTCTCCTCCTCCACATCCTGATCCCCCACATTCTCTCCACCTAACCCTTTCCACCTTCCCCTTCTTCTTATTCCCCCTCGTCGTTGTCTTCGTTGTCGTCGTCGTCGTCGTCCTCTTCCTCCTGTTCCTGCACCCTCCTCCTCTTCCTCGTCTCCCTCCTCGTGATCCTCGTCGTCGTCCTCCTCGTACTACGTTGAATACCAAAATGAAGGGGCCGAACGGTCTTAGACAATCCATGGGTGCGTGCCTGACCCACCCGCCCGCGACCAGCCCGCAACCCATCC